ATTATGAATTTAAATTTATTTGGAATTGGAAGCAAGAATATTTGCTAGTTAATAGAGTCCTACATAAGCTTTGTAATTATGCTTTACAATAATGTTATTATCTATGGCCTTTGGTCAGCCTTATATATAGCCTTGGTTTATGTTTGCAGTAACTAAGTCTCTTTTGTATAGAATTTAAGTTGGACTTACAGTAAATTGAATTCTGTGTTACTTTAAATAATTGACTTAAGCACACTAGTAAATTTACAACAAATTTTGGAATCTTTTTAAAAATCATTATTTCAAAGCATCAGTGTTTGAGTTTAAAAATCCTTTTGAATTTTCTCTTTTAAAGGTGCATCTGAATTGTTTACTGTTTGTTCATCGGTTAGCAGAAGAGTCCAGAATGAATGCTTTTGAGAGTAAGTGTGGAGTCATTAAAAAGGAGCATGTACAGGCTGCAGCAAAGGTAAAATCTGACTTTCTTTTCTTGAGCAAGAATTAACTTAAAAAAATATCATCTAGTATATCATTTCTCTCTGCTTTGGATTCCTTATTCAGCTTTGTTGACTGATGTTTTGCTCCCCCCCCACAATTATGCTGGCATCCTGGTATAGTTAACAACAGAGTTGGCACGGATGCTAACCAGTTATCAGCTGCTGTTTCCCTAGCAGTGTAACTCTTGCCTAGGTACATGGCAACCCAGGCAGCTGCCTATAGCTGGGGGTGTTTGGTTTTTATGTTATTGGGTTTAATTATGGAGATTTTCTTTTTCTATATGTATATATTATGGATTTCTGATGGAAAGATTCATGGGCACTGCTTTATCATTACTTAAGGGAAATGAATGTTTGGCTGCTAACCTATATGATTTATAGTAGGCTGTATATAGTTGAGAAGCTTTATCACCTTGAAATTTATGAAAACTTCTTGATCATTTTAAGTTTTCCTAATTACTTGTTTTGAGATTTGAGTGACTTATGAATCAAATCACTTATATAAGCAGAGAAAGTTGCTTCTTGCTGGTATTTCTATATAATGTAAGAATATGATGCCTAGGATGGTTTTTTCTAAATATGTCTCCAAGATTATTATTTTCATTTGATTTTAATAGATGGCCCACCAAAAAATTTTGGGGGTCAGATAAATTTAGATGACCTACTGTATCTCTTTGAATAGTCACAATGTTATATAGAGAGCTTTGTTTCTAAAATAATATGCAAGAAACTGGCAACCATGGTTGACTGGGGGATGATGTGGGAGAGAGAATTATTTTTGACAGTCTACCTCTTTGTAGACTTTTGTTTAATTTTTTTTAATTTTGAAATAATTATAGACTCACAGAAGATGCAAAAATAATAGAGTTCCCATGTACCTCTTATCCAGCCTTCGCAATGCTGTCATCTTTAAATATAGTTATGTAAGGTTTATGAAAGTTTATGAGAAGCAGAGGTAAATAAACTTGTCGAACTCTGTTTAACTTAGCATCTTAAAGATTTGGGTGCATAATATACTCAGCAAATTTGAGTATGTCCTACTTTCTTTTGTAGTGCTCATGCTAACATGTAGAACCAGAGAAGTACAAGTACTGGCCTGGGATATAGACCTATTTGATGGTCTTTGTGGAAGCTTAGAAATGTGCATGCCCTGGTACTTTTTTAGGGGCTTCAACTTTGCTTATATTCCAATATGTTTCTAGACTATTAAAGGCAATATAAGTTGTTTTTTTTTTTTTTTTTAGGTAGAAGTAAGGCTTAAGAGCTTGTAGAGTGTATGTGCGTATTTTAAATTTAGGGTTTTTATTATAGGTGTAGTTACCTATAAGTAGGTAAGTTCTTTAAAAAAATTTCTGGATATATTCTGGTCTACTGCTTCTAGTCTTTTATAATTAAAGATCTGATTTTATTTTATTTTCTCATGGGCTATATGTTTTGAAAATTGTCTACCTAATGAGTTAAAATTTTAAGAATATAATGACTAGTCTTTGTCTCTAAATTGATATAATTCTAGCTCAAATATAAGAAATTTGGTGTTGCAGTGGATTTGTATTGCCTTATAGTTGTTAATGTCTGATTTATAATAGGATTTTTGACTTTTGGAAAATTCTTTAACGCCCTAGATTACTAAATTGTCTACAAACCTCAAGTTGGGAACCACTAATCTGGGTACTTTTGGCTTACATTTGAAGAAATGGACAGTCAGAAGTGACTATAAAACCAGATTTTGAGAATTGCTTTTTTCACATTTTTTGATAGAAGTGGACTATTTTAGGGGAAGTCTAGGACCATTTATAAGGCAAAAGATTCCATAATCACCTTCCAAATTGGGTTTATAAACTCAGTCTTGCATATTATGCACATAAGATGATCTAACTTTTTGTCGAGGAATTCTGTTTTATTTGCCTTGGGTATAATATGAATCTTCATTTTTTCCTCCCCTCACAGGTAATTCTAAAGAAGAGCAGAGGTTAGAAGTCAAAGAACACATTTTTGAAAATTACATAATGTATTATTTTAGGTGATAACAGACCGTGAAAGTACTTTTTACATATCCATTAAGATTGTGTATTATTAAAATATTAAATATTGACTAGTTGAGGGATGTGTGTATTTGTGTGTATATATATATATATATATATATTTTTTTTTTTTTTTTACTGATTCTGGAATATCTCAAACACATGTATAACTTTTTTTTTTTTGAGGAATTGTTTCTTTTTAATGGCCTCATTTTACTTCCATTTTGTTGGTGTTACGAACGTTTTACATAACAAAAATGACATTTTACATATGTAGTAGTTTGAAGAGATGTGTTAGAATTGTTTATAAGGATTTAGATTTAGTTACAGTTAACTATGGAATCAATTTAATTTCTGAAGAAAGACAATGTGCAGTCAATCTAGGTACATTTTAATACTGATTTTAACTATTTAATGCTGTCACATAAGCAATGCAATTTTTACTTTATACCATTATTGACATTTCTCAACTAGAAACATCAGCAAGGTGTTTTCAAAACCTGTTTCTCTTTACAAGCCAAAAAAAATAGTAGAGCAGACTGACTTACTTTAAGTAGGTTTAATAGATGGGTGTTTCATTTCCCCTAAGGAGTCCTTTAGAAGTTTATTGTGTATTATCTGATAGTTATTTTTATTTTTATTCCCCAGTGGTTACATCTTAAATAGTTATAGTATAACCCAAACCAGGAATTTGATATTAGCACCATGTGGGTGTAATACTGTACCATTTTATCATGTGTAACCACCACTATAGTCAAGATACAGAACTATTTCATCACCAGAAAGTTCTCCATCATGCTGTCCTTCTATAATTAACATTTAGCCTTCTATGGACACCCCTCCCCTCTAATCCCTAAGCCCTGGCAATCACTAATCTCTTCTCCAGCTCTATAATTTTATCATTTTAAATGGAATCATACAGGTAATGACTTTTGGGGATTCCCCCCCACTCAACATAACTTCCTTGAGATCCATCCAAGTTGTTGTATGTAGCAGTTCCTTTTTATTACTGAATTGTATTCCCTGGTATTTATGTACCACAGTTTCTGCAGCTATGCACCCATTGTAGGGCATTTTGATTATTTCCAGTTTTTGGCTATTATGAATAAAGCTTCTATGAACCAATGTGTACAAGTTTTTATACAGATAAAAGTTTTCATTTCTCTAGGATAAATGCCTGGGAGTGTGATTGCTGGGTTGAATGGTAAGTTTAGTTTTTTAAAAAGAAATGGCCAAACTGTTTTCCAGAATGGCTGTACCATTTATATTCTCATCAGCAGTTTATGAGAGATCCAGTTTCTTCACATTCTCATAAACATTTGGTATTGTTATTTTTTATTTTAAGCTGCTCTGATGGGAGTGTGTCTCATGTTTTTTTCCATTTCCCTAATGGCTAATGATGTACATATTTTCATGCTTATTTCTCATCCATTTTTCCTCTTTGGTAAAATGTTTCTTCATTTCTTTTGTTTGTTTTCTATTTGGATTGTTTGTTTTTCCAATGTTGAATTCTAAGAGTTCTTTATTCTAGGTATAGTCATTTGTCAGATATGTGGTTTGCAATATTTTTTTTTTTCTGTTGCCTTTTACCCTCTTAACAGGGTCTTGTGAAGATCAACAGTTTTTAATTTTGATGAAGCCCATCTTAATTGGGTCCCCCCCGCCCCCGCCATGGTATTGGTGTAATGTTTAAGGACTCTTTTTTTTTTTTTTAA